ATTTTGAGAAAACTTCTAATGAATATCTGCAGATCATTGAGAAATTCAACAATTTGGTCGCATTTGTCCAAAACTTATAAATATTTTTCAAAGCAGAACAAAACAATCAATCCTTTGGAGAAAACTTCATTCAAAAATCTAGTTCCGTAGTATGTAAGCATAAACATTACATACAAAAAGAGATAAAATTTTGATACAACTTGCAGAGAATGTAGAACTAAAGAGAAATTGCATTTAACGATTTGAATAACTGTCAAATGATTTCTATACTATAAGTTATTTCCAGCTTTGCATGATAACATTGCCGGTTGGGTGTTTCGGACATTTCAACCTTCACCTTTATTTCAACAAGCATAAATTAACCTAAATAAAGGTGAAATTAAATATATTTTAACTAGGCCTCCTCGAGGAACGGTTAAAAGTTGGCAATTTTTTCGAAAAGGCCTTTGTATGAAGGCTTCGAGCTAAGTCACAATAACAATTCTAGTCGAATGTCATAAGAAGAGGCAATGTGTTATAACATTTTCATGCATAATTCAGACAACATTATCATAAATTATCTTAACTTGAAGGGTTTTCAGTGGAGACAGAACGCATTGGCGAGACCGTTCAAGATCAGAGCAAACTGAACTTCTCTGCCGAACAGATATTAAATTTTCGTTCTCTGGTGGCTCAGGTGGACATACTTCAAAAGAAAACGAAAGATCTCATAGTAAGTAACAAGAACTTTCCTTTAAGAAGCAGCTGATTACAACAGAAGCAGTGAGCTTGGATGGAGGGAAAGAAACCCTCTTGTTATTTAGTATAAATCTACTAGCGGTTTATCACGAATGCCGTTCTCTGATTGGCTACGCTACTCACTATATATTCTGTGATAGATTGTAAGTAGCGTAGCACTGCGCCCTTAACAAAATGACGGTGGCTTCTTGGCGTTTTCGAAGTGTCTGTGAAGAGGATTTAGATAAAGTTTTGAACGACTAGTAGATTTATACTAAAACGCAGCCCTCGTCAACAATCACGCAATAGAAATGGAGAGCGAATAATCTAATTGTTTGATAGCTGGGGTCTAGTTGAATGATCTAACGCGCACTCTGACAGGTTGATGTATGGTCACGCGAGTGAGTGAGTGAGTGAGTGAGAATGGCCCACTCTCCTACTAACCCAACGTTACTTTGACTTATTCTTGCCTTATTACTGTACAATAAAATCCAGGTATATAACAAACCACTTTTAAAATGAGTGGTCCTATAGGAAACAGTCAGTTGTGTTTTCCCTCGACTTTGTCTCGGGAAACATCGAGATTCTCGGGAAAACAAAACTAGCTGTTTTCCTCGGGACCAGTAACTAAGTGTATACGTAATTTTGTGGCATTTTGGACATACAGCCAGTCGTGTAGATGGTAATGTCATTACGAAAAGTCTACCTACCACCACATAATTATTAAGAACTCGCAAAATAGTCTCTCTTTTGCTGGAGAATCCGTGGGGAAGAATGCAAATCAAGTGAACGTGCGAGCGTCACTGCGAGCGTGACATACGAGCGGCGAGTGGCGAAGCCGCGAGCCACGAGTAGCGCGGGTGTCGGACGTCTTCCGACGCCCGCGGTACTTACGGCTCGCAGCTTCGCATTTGACGCTCGCACGCTTAATGTTGTTTTGTGTTCTTCGTTGCGTTCTTTCTCACGGATTTTCGAGCAAAGAGAGACTGCTCGCAGTCTAACTCTGTTATAACTTGTATGCATTGTGCGCCAACATACTTTTCATTATACAGACATTGGCTTCCATTAACAAAGTGTTACAAAATCTTGAACTGTTCCTAGTCTTGGCAAGGGAAGATTACTGGACCTTTCTCTTGCTCTGAGGCTTCTATTTTTTTAACTTGACAAAAGATGTAAGGATGAAAACACTTGGAAAGAATGCAATGTGCGCTCTGGCGGTAAACTTTACTTTTGCAATTTGCCACACTATCTCAATATAAGAAGTTACACGGAGAACTGAAATCCAATTGGATTTATTTCTGTTAAGTTAGCTATTTCCAGCTTAAAGAGTTAAAATTAACAGATTCTAAGTTGGCTAAATAAGTTGAGGCTAGCTGGCATCATTTACTATGATTTGCAATTGCTATCATTACCGTAAGTCCTCGAATTAGCGCCCCCGGCTTCGAATAAGCGCCTAAGCGCCCCTGCTATGGGCCGAAATTTAAAATAAGCCCCACCCTCTCGAATTAGCGCCCCCTCCCTTCCCCTCCATTTTGTGGATGAGTAATGAGACAACAAAGGATGTATAGTTTTCGTCATGTGGTATTAGATTTGTACATTGTTTCAGTTTGTGAACACGTTTAGCGAACGCGTTGAACACGTTAAGTACTAACGTTGCCCAAGTTTAAACTTTAGGATCAGCCTTTTATGTCAAAAACAGCATCGCCCACAATGCCGCGACACATCCGGGGCTTTTTTGTGACCTCCGCGCGTAAATTCAAACTGAATAATTATCCCAGCTGTCCAGACAATAAGAAAAATGACCGACATCTGCAAACAGTATGTATGTTTTGCGCGATTACGAGCTTATTAGTCAAGTTTAGAAAAAGTTTGCATATGGCTTTTGAAGATGACACATCAGTAGAAAATACGAGACCTTTTCTGAGATTTTACCGCAATTAGAACTAGTCGCAAATTTTATTTGAATTTGGTCCATTTCAAGGAATTTTTGGTATGAGAGTAAACTTCGAAGCTAAATTTTTCTTCGCTCGAATGCTTGACCAAAAAGTTTGCATATGGTTTTGGCCATTTGTTGCTTGAGACAGCTTTATGCCCAGTTTCAAATGAAACTGATGGTTCAAAGTGGTCGCAAACTCCAACTTTAGATTTTTTCCAACAAAGTTCTTGTTTTCCCTCTCCTTAGAAACTCCCACGGGAATAGAACGAACCTATTTTGAATCTCCCGCTAGAATTTAAATGTAGTCGAAGCTCCGCCTCCGCAAACAATAGGACCCCTGTGGGACTATTAAGCGTTAAACCACTATTAAACCAGCGCTTTGCGATTATTATTTAAAATACCCTTTAATGATGATTGCGTCTGTTAAAAAAAGAGATTTTTTCTCACAAGTGTACCGAAAAGGTGGTATTGTGTAGCCATTGACAACCTACATGCAAACTGTCTCAAAAGAGCTTTTATTCACATTTCGAATGCTGCCGAGGAGGCAAACAATTCGTCAAAGTCAGTTCTCTATCGGAAAACCGTAAGTCAAGATGTCGTCCGTACAAGAAATGCAGAAGGTTGATCGGGAGCTCTTTTTAGAGCTCATTGAATCCCCGATCAACCCTGCTTTCTTACACATATCCACACCGCTAAAAGACTGCGACCCAATGTTTTATTTACAAATTAACAGAGAAGCTCTGTGGCAATGGCGTGCCATCAAGAAACCGGGCCGGCTTAAGGCGGATGCTTGTTCATTTATGACCAACACGATAAAGAAAGTATACCGTGTTTATTTCCCTTTTCTCTTCATCATCCTGGATCGATGACATTTTTTTGGCATACTGAACCTACTATGAAAAGAGCGAGTTCAGCGGTGTTAGGAGAGAGGCCGTGAAAAACAACCACAACGCGCGCAGTAGTCATTCAAATGATGAGTCAATTTTTCGCGTACCTTCACTCGCGCGTGACAAATTCTCCGCCCTTGCTTGATTCTTAGGAGTTAGCAAAAGCTTGTTTTCGGGGGGCGGGCAGTAAAATTCTTTTTTGCAAAGCGTAAGTTTTGTTTGTTATCGCTTTTCAAACACGCGTGGTGAAGGTACTCTTCGCGCTTGTCTGGATTTGTGACTCAAGCTCACAAGCCAACACAAATACTGAAAGGCCGGATTTTCTGGAAATTTAATTCTAACAAAGCGCAAGAAATAATTGCTAGCATTACTCTCAAGGCAGCAAGTGACGCTTTGCGCTCGTCTCAACCGCTTTTAAGAGCCGCTTTTTTTTTTTTTTTTTT